TTCGAGCTTGTAAGGCTTCCAGTGCTTTTTAAACTCGGGACTCTAGGAACTAACGTGGAACTGCAAAAGTTGTCCCTGAGTGGCAATTATAGCCAAGCGTTGCAGCAGCTAGAAGATATATCACCGCATACGCTTCATCGCCTCAAAAACCAGCAATTATGGACATTCGTCTGCGGTCTATTGAAATTGAGGCAACAGCTGCACCGGTACATTCGTTCAGGCTTGCTCCTACCAATTGCCATGGTAACTGACTTGAAGTAGAGACAACAAAGTGGCTGCAGAACACCTAGTTACCCAGCTTCGAGCTTGTGTAGTCAACGAACCCGAACACACAGCAGCTTTGTCGTTATCGGAGGTAGAATTTCTTATCTGCAAAGGAGATTATAGCGCCGCCCTAAAGCTGATTGAAAACATTGCAAAATCAACGCAGCAAGGTCTTTTTGATGTTGCACTTCAGATTAAGCTCTTGAATCTGAAAGCACAGATATTCCAAAAGACGGACCAGCCCGAACGCGCATTTTCTCTTGTTATGCGGGCAGCTAGCATAGCATATCGGTCTCGAGTGCTGCCCGGTCTGTGGGAGGCGCTCGGGAATCTTGCCGTCATTCTGATGGTATTCCGGGAATTCGAAGCCGCAGTAGATACCCTAGAGAGTATCATGCCTCAAGTGCTGGAAGGCGACGACTCCGTGTTAGCCGCTCGCACGTACTCCTTACTTGTGGATGCAAATATGGGGCTGGCCGGCCGAACCAAGCAGGATATGGTACGGCAAAAAGAATATATAGCAAAGGCATCGGAATTCATTGATTGCGCGTTTGCGGAGTATTCAAAGGTGGGGAACCTGAATGGCCAGTGTGAGATGACGGCAAAGAAAGCTACCCTGATGCATCTATCTGGGGATCTGGCGTTGGCGAACGATTATGCTGCGAGGTATCTAGATTTTAAACGGCAGGCTCGGATGGAGGCAATGGGAAGTTAGGGCCAGAGTCCATATCGCAAGCATATCAAGGCGATCGAAATGCATGAAGAGGAGCGATTATAGATCACTGTAATAGAGCTGCAATCACTACAAGAGCAACAAAGGTTATCATCCGTCGCCACGCAACTAGATTAGAGTTTCATCAATTAGTTACGCCAAGACCACACCCAGCCCTGCTTAGTCATGGGGGCAGAGATTTGAAGTGGCGCTTTCCCCCTTTCGGCAGCCCTCGCCTCCCCTGCGCTCTTCGCCAACTTTAAAAGAAGCCCAACCTTCTTCCTTTCTCCATCATCGTCAGTCTCAATCTCATCAACTCCACTCCGTCTTTGCAGCTCAGTCTTGATAGCAGTTCTTGCACATCTCCAACCTACGTTTTATTATACACCACTTCTTAGAGCGGTTCGTGAAAACAACTGAGTTTATGTCAATCGAAAACCTCAAGACCTTTGGTAAGTTGACTCCTTGTCTACCGCCACTCTCGCCCTCCCGGGGAGCCGCATTATGCTACGCAACAGGCTTTGCTGCATGTTCAAAAGCTATGGGGGCACATCTTGATAAACGATATCAAGCTGCCTACATACCCTCTTGCAGCGCGAGAAGTATTGTGTCGCGTGATGTCGGTTTTTGAAGCTCCTCCCCCTTGAGCGGGGTAGTTGTGCGTGTGGCTTGACGATGCATTCCACGATAGAAAGACTAACCACCATCTCGCATACAGACCCCTTCGCCGAAGCTGACGAAGATACCGGCGATACTAAACAGTCTCAAAATTATATCCATATACGGATACAACGTATGCACTTCTCCCTTCCTCCCTTGCTGTCTCGCTCCTCTGTCGTCCTAGTTGAATGCTTGGCACTAACACGTCACTCTTTATCACAGAGCGCAATGGTCGTAAGACTTTGACCACTGTCCAAGGTCTCCCGAAAAAGTTCGACCAGAAAAAGATCCTTAAGGTCATCAAGAAAAAATTCGGTATGGACTAGCGTCGCTGATTTTGCATCTCCACTCACTAATAATCTTTTTCGTGTCTAGCTTGCAATGGCACCATCGTGAACGACACTGAGATGGGCGAAGTGATCCAGCTCCAAGGGGATCAACGCAAAGATGTCCAAGAATTCTTAACCGACAAGAAAGAAGGGCTTGAGCTTGACTCCAAGACCATCAAGGTCCATGGTTTCTAAGTCAAGCTTCACGTCCCCTCGTCGTCTTCGTACAAGCCTACGCCAATGAGAGTTGGCAAAGTCATATCGCCGTCAAATATGTTATATGGTTGGATCATCTTTGTCTGCCTATGATGTCCTTGTCTATCCGATAGACGTGAGCTCTCTTCAAAAACAGGCGTCAGACGATTTATACTTCCTCGCGGTCAGCGGATACGCGGTGCGACCACAGAAAGAAGAAATATTTCGGTGATGGGCGACGGCGAGGTGTGGCGTCGAATAGATACCCATGGATGCATTAGATAGGTTATTTTTATTGTTCCTACGTTGGGCGACGTTTCAGATGGTATGCTTTACGAACTGCCTTGTCCTATCTGTTCGTCATTCAACTGCCCAAATTGTTGGTGGTAATCAGGTTGTTTCGGAATTTGCTGCGATTACAAATGGGGAGGACTCGCTTGACTGCCTGTCAACTTTCGGTCCAATGCAACCATCCTCCCCAGAACTGTTTGACTTTTAAGTTCACTAGTTTTATGGCCTAATCAGCAATTAATGGTATTGATGAATCTACTATGCTTTGTGCATTCATTGTCGTTCTCGTGGAACCTCGACTTAAAACTATAAATATGCGGGCTTCATGCTTTATCATACAAACAAACATGGAATGTAAAACGTAGAAGAACGAAGAAAACAGCATCGAGGGAGCTTAAAAAAGGGATGACCCCATACAAAAAAAGGAAAAGTAGTTGCAAGTTAACCATGAGGCGCGGTGCCACGCAAGTGCTCAACAACAACCATTTTCTCTGCAACGACTTTCCAGAGCTTTTTGCTCATAACGAGCAGAGGCAGTTCTAGCTCGTTTTCTCGCGAGAGGTGAAGCTGTAGAAGTAACGAACACATGCTTATGAAACTGGCAATGGAGAATACGGATAGAGAGGCTGCCGTTTCTTTCTTGATGTTGATTTTGCGTTGGGTGAGGTGGTAGAGCAGTGTGAGAATCTAGAGCGCGTCTTTATGTTAGTTTAAGAAGAAATCGAAGGACGGTAGAAATGGGGACGAACAGAAGTAATAGATATCCAGGCGGGAAGAAGTAGACGCGGGTCGGATGATGCACCGGAAAGATGGAGGATCCAGGAAGTGATATATGCGAGGAGACCGTTCGTGGTGAGGAGGCGGATTACGACAGCCAAGGGCGTATAATTAAGGAGCCTGCGCCGATTGATTAATCAGAGAGTAGTAGGAACAATGTCTGGTGTATACGCACCATCGGGACATTAGACAATCAGCAAAAAAGTAAGATAAATATGCGGAAGAAAAGCACTGCAGCGGAGCTCGTTAGCAGGATGTCCAGCGCAGAATCGGCTTGAAAGACATACCCAAATAATTGCGAGAGCAACCTCTGTCACCCTAAATCTCCGATCAGCATCCCAATCCACGGCAGCCACCGTTGCCGCTGTCCCCTTGACTATGGCCGCAGTCCATCCTCCCGCCCCGCCAGCCCCGTCGCCCTCCGGCTGCCTCCATAGATTCGGCTCAATCCTCAACAGTTCCGCCAAAAATGTAAACGCACAACGCAAACCCCACCATGCTGCTGGCACGATACTTAAAGCTCGACAAATCAGCAGCGGGAGGTACCAGCAACGATCGACGCCCAGAATCACTGCGACACGGGGATGTAGGGGGTTCGTGGTCACGGATTGCGGTGACGGGGTACGGGCGGAGGCCTTGGAGGAGGCATTGGAGGGAGAAGGAGGAGGAGGGAGGAGATTGGGGTCGAGAAGGTTACTCAGGATTGCGGTATGGCGGAGGAGAGCTTGAGAGGAGGAGCCATGGCGAGAGGAAGGGGGGGAGGCGGCGTCGGGGGTGGAGGGGAGCCAGTCTTGGAGAGTTCTTCTCTTCTTTGAGGTTTCTGTAGTTTATCTCTAGCTGGCTGATAGACGAAGCCTATCAAGGACTGATGGCGAATTCAGGAGCTGGGTTTGGAGGCGGAGGGTTCAGTTGAGCATGAAGCGCCACTGCGGATGGGAGAAGGAGATTTGGTTTCGAGGGAGCTTGCGATCTTGGGCGCGACTGCAGCTAGTTGCTCAGAAAGTACGATGCAACTCCCTCAGAAAAGCGCAATTAAACGCAGTTCCTAGCGGCCACTAGCCCAAGGATCTTGTTCTAGCTGCAATGCTCTCTCACTTGGAGGTTAGCTTGCAGCTCCATCTCATTACGGAGGTGTACTTGTCTACAGTTGTGCAAAATCGGCTCCGGAAGAAGAATCAATAAAATACGTAATAAGTCTAGCGATATTCAGTTCACTCTGGCGTCGTGGACCAAGGACCAAGGACCGTATCGCGACTTTTGGGTATGTTCGGACATCCGATGAAGTCTGATAGTAATGATCTCGAACACGATGGAGCTGGTTTCCATGGACAGTGAAAGAGGTTCCGACGCAATGGCACGCAGACGTCAGTTCATGGCCGGCTTAATCACACTCGCAGCAATACCATCACGCTTCCCCAGCTTTCCCAAGAATCCCTTGCATTCTTTTTCCTCCGGGTTTCATTTTGCGATTTTCTGCAGCGAAGGCGAACTCGGCGGATATGATGACTAATAAACGGCCTTCTCTTATTAAGTAGCCGACCTTCCCTATTTTAGACTAGTGTAAATAGCTTATCGGTTTATCATTAATCCGAATAGCTTTGCTTATATAAGATTCACGATTTTGATAGAAATGCGAAGTCGAAAAGATTGAGACGAGGACGACGACGTTCCCGCCTTTCGAAAGGCTCGCAAGGAGGCCAATTACTTTAAAGAATCGAAACTGATACCCAATACCCCCCGCAGCCATGAATCCCGCCCTCTACCTCCCCAGATCCGTCTCCTCGTCCTTCGCCCGCTCCGCATTCCCCAGAGCTCCCTCTCCCCTGGAGCCCCGATGTTTGCTGAGGCCATTTTCTTCCTCCCGAAATCAACATGCGGGGATGCAAGGGGGTGTTCAGGCCATAAAGCCTCGCATTCCACCGCAGATGAGCATGAAAAACCGTGTCAAGCAGAGTATGAGCGGAGCTAGCCGGGAGATGCTGCCAGACGATGTAGGACTATTACCAGGCACATTCATTAGGCCTGTGTGGCGGAATATGCCTTCGATATTCAAAGATCCCAAACTGAGATTAAGAATGGAGTGGATGACGTTGAAGATGAAGGTTATGAATTTTATCAGGTATTTCCATTGCTCATGCTTCTCTTTCAGCGAGTTTTAAGGTGGAAGTCAAGCTAATAACTTTTGGTTATTACTAGCATATTATCTTTTTGTAAATTTGTAAATAAAGGTCTCCCGCTGAGACTACGAGAACGAAAGCGTCGAGCGCTCGATCTACATAAACAGATGTACACCGCCTTTGCAAAGTAGGTTACTTCGCTACCTTTGCCTCGTTTTTCTACGGTGGTAGTTTGATTAACGTTGCATCAATCGCATACAGTGGTGACGTCGGTCTTCTTAAACAAATTTGCTGTCAGGGCATTCATCAAAACTTCGCAGCCCGCATTTCTCGCCGTCCACGTACCACCCCCCGCCTTCTTTGGACTCTTCATTCCTACAAAAAGTTTCCCTTTGCACCCACCTTTTCCGGCGCTCAAGTTGTTTCGGACCGTGGTGCTGCACTTCCCGAGGCTAAAGGCTTTGGTATTCGACAGGCTGTGATCAGAATACAGAGCAAACAGTCGTTGGTGACACCGGGCACTGGGGAGGAACAGAACGTTGAGAAGCAGCAGGATTGTACAGAGTATATTGTGCTGCAAAGATTTATGGTCAATGGGGAAGACGGCGACTGGAAAGTGTGGGGTTTGGCGGAAGAGACAACACCGGAAGATTTAGAGACAGATCCTATGTTTGCGCAAGGGTTGTCGATGAAGGACCGGATTGAGATGTTGACTATGAAGTTTAAGTAGTGATCCGACTTTGTGGATTTCCGCTTCATTTGATGATGGAACGGGAACGGTTTGTGGGGAAGTAGGAGAATTTTTGAAGAATGCCTAGGTGGCTAGGTATGTAACATGTATTATATCTGCTTTGTTTTGGAATATAGCAAGCGAAAAGACGGGGCGATTCCTCAACTTATTAAAATGATACCGCCTGAGTCGAGATAGCATCAAGAGCATTGACAGAAATGAGCCGCTGCAAACACCAGAAACTTGTCATCAATTATTTCAAAGCAATAACCCCCAGCCAGTAGGCTGGACTATGGTTACCAATATTCCGCACTTTTGTTTTAGCTGCAATTCAAAGGCTTAGTTATGGCATAGTTGCTCGCCGGTCGCCGTCAATGCGCATGCATAACCGCAATCGCTGACTACCACAACTTCCACCATTTATCATCTCCTCTATCAGCCTCAACAGCGGGGCTATCATTTTGTTTACCATCCTCTTCGTCCCGGGCATTACCCACAGGGCGAATGGGGTCATCGACTTGGCTCGTCGTTCGCACTGGCTTGATCGGTTTATCGAACGCATCAAAGTGTTCGCCCCGGACTTTAGAGACGACGAACTGGTATGCTATACGCAATGCGAATGCAATGAGGGCAAAGATAAAGCCTCCAACGGGCGCAGCGACGAAGGCACCTATGACGTATGTCAGCGTTTGGCCATGTTATAATCAGGGGGACAATAGATACGCACCAAAAACGCTCCAATCGTCCGCATACAGGCCGTTTTCCAACAAGATCAAACGGCCACCTTCGTAGGCACTTCCATAGTATATGGTTCCGAAGATGAAGATAGAAAGAATGCCTCCCAGACCTCCAGCAATGACTTCGGAGCCCTTCCAGAAATAACACTTATCCCAAAGACTGATGACTAAGACTGGGATCGCAGATGCAGAGACAAGATCCGAAATCAAGAAAATTTGCAGTACACTGGGTGATTTCAGAGCGACCACCACCACAGGGACTATGCACAGAACCACACCGATCCGGATGTAGATCAGGGATAGTTTGTTGCGAAATAAGTCATTACTGGCTGTGCTGACCATGGCAGACTGAAGGCTGTCGAAAGCAGCTGTGCTTAGCGCAACAGTCATGACCAAAACAATTCCGACGACCCAGCCAGGTAGCTTCTCCAGGAGAAGGAAGAACGCAATGGAACCGGACTGCGGCGGGTCTCCGGGCCATGCGCCAGACCAGGCTGCCAGAAGACCAGTGCTTCCAACAAGAACCAGAATACACAGGACGGTGAAACTTGCGATAGAGACGCCAATGCGTAGATCTCGATCTGTCTTTGAAGCGAAGGTGCGGAGCCAAAAATTGGAGAGAAAGAAGTCGTTGGTCAAAATTGCGACTGGGAGAATATAAATAAGTTGCCAGCCGAGTAACGAGGGCTCCAAGAGCCCGGATGAGTCGATGAGAGAGCGGTTGATTTGAGTCTTCGTCCCAACTGTAATGACTCCAATAATGATAAGGCCGACGACCATTGCCCCTTGGATATTGTCCGTCATGAATGAGACTTTGAAACCACCCAGGGACGTGTAAATGGTAGTTACTACAACTTGCACGATCACTGCTGGCAGCCCATTCAGTCCCGTAAGCGCATTGACAATCTGCTGCAAGGCGGACAGTTCGGCCACCATGTAGAGGAAGAGCGTAATAAGTCTATCTATCTGTTAGGGAGATTTATTATCCTCGACATAATGGAATGCGCACTTACGTGAGAAGGCTCAGATACATCGCAGCAGCGACCCCATATCTCTGCCTTGTCCATTCCGTCAAAACGAAGCCTTCCGGGCATTTTTTCCGAATAATTGGTCCAAGGTATCCAAAAGCCAAAAGCGGCAATGAAGAAGATAATCCGTAAACAACTAGACCCTGAACACCAGCAATAGTGGCAATTTCGGGATAAGTGAAAAGAATACCGGATCCGAGACCTACACATTATGAAATCGGTAAAAGAAACCCTGCAATCAGCAAATTCTATACTTCAATTATAAACGTTTTGAAACCAAAGGGGAGGGGAGAAGCGGCAGCACGTTTCTCACGCAAGCATTAACTTGATCGAGTGTTCAACGGTACAATCTCAGCATCATGCCCGCACTAAAGGTGTAGGGATCTCTCCAGAAAAACATGGGAAGCTTTCAAGAGGTGGATCGTCCAGTCATTCAGTGCCACAATCAGCGCCCGTAGTGTTGCCGCAGCAGAAGCCGCTCTGGAGCCATCGGCTGAAAGAGCGAACGCAACGCAAGTTTATAACCAGGTTGCGCTCGCAGCCCTCGTAGACAGACGCCCAGAGCAACATATGCTGAAGTGAACTCTCTGATACGAACCTGTTCTATGCTGCGCCAACTATTCATGTCTAGTTTTAGGCTTTCTGGGTTTATTGTGGGCGACACAGCGAGCTATGGACATGCTCGTGATTTGATGTGTTCCGAAACCAGGCGGAAAACAGATGACATCTCCCGGAGGTCTGACAGATAGAAATTCGATAAACCTATGCGGCTGCCGCTTCTCATTCGGGAGAAGAAAGAGTTGGGCTCCTCGCCCATGCATTCAACAACTCACCCGAAGCGATGAAGTTCAAAGCAAGAGGCAGAGCTAAACCAACTCAGATGGGCAAAAGACCGCCCGACATGTATTAGCAAACCCACAAAAAATAGAAAAATCATAGCCTTAGGCAAGGAAGGACGAGTTTCAGCGCTAGCTCGTGGCTTGTTAAATTCTAACCCTTTTGCGTTCCATTACTGGACAGAAATTGGCCTTTTGTCTGCTTGCGCAGCAAGTAGGCAATATAGAGACCGACGACGCTTGTGGCAGATGTTAGCTGGAGTGCTTTTTCTAAATTAAGGGGGCAAAAGGCGTACAGAAAAGCTCCGTAGGTCAGATATATCAGGGCGTTCGACGCCTGAAAGGAAGGTTGGCCCATGTCTGCAGATGCGCGCTCTAAGCTTGGAGAAAGCCCTTCTGAGATTCGAAATTTAAAGCAAGTAATAGGACAAACAGAGATGAGGTGCTGGAACATCCACTTGGTTCCGCTAGAAAGACGAAGACGAGAAAGGAAACCCGAAAACCGGATGGCACGCTGTGGTTATTTATCCCACCGTCAGGATTTTATATTTTCTTTTGTCTCTTGTCGTGGTTGATTGCGGAGAAATTTTACCTGAACCGCATCCACCTGTTGCGAGATCCAGGCCAGTGATATGAGGTCAAATCCAACTAAGCTTCAACTAATAAGCAATGTCCATACCAAAATTCCTGAAAACACATGGCTCTCACTTGTCATGTGGATAGTTTTAAAGGCCGAGTCCAACAGTGAAAGAGGATTGTGGTCAATCATCCAATGATCATGCTTCACTCCCTGCATTTGCGGGCGAAGAACAGCGTGGGAGTGGATCTAAAAGCAAGCCATCATCCATGGCATTTGCTTGGAATCGCGAGATTGAGTTTTCTGCATGAGCTAGGACCCAGACCCGGATTAAAAGGCCTTGCATGATTGATAAGACAAGAAGTAATATCAATGACGAGAACGTAGCCCAGCGGCCAAAAATGAATTATATCCACGACTAAGTTTCCAAATTCCATGTTGTAGAGTGAAATCCCAGCAGATGGATGCCGCAAAATCATTAAAAGAGTTAATTAATACAAAATGATTGTGCCAATCCCAAGTTCACACGGATATTGTTGAGCCAAAAGGATAAAAATCACAATCGCCGTACTGTATGGCGAAGGTTCTGTATCTGAAACTTCCCAAGGGGGCGAAGAAGACATATGATACTCGTCTAATCATCGTCAAAGATTTGAAACGTATTTTGCAAGACGGTTTCGATTACTCGCGCCTGCCATCCGGAATCAGCGATGCTGTGGCCAGCATTGGAGCCCATAAGCGTTAGGCTGTCGAGTATTTATTAGTATAGGCAAAATAGTGAGTGTAGTTAACCAACAGGTGCTTTATACTTACCCAAAGCTGATGGCAATATTGCCCGCATTCATTCTATTTTCGGATGCTCGTTCTTGCACATGATTCAGGTGCTGGAAGACGATAAATCAGTGAAAGAAGATTAAAAACAAATGATTATGAAAGATAAATACCAAGATCAGTGCTCGTAGAGTGGCATAATTTGGGTCCGGAAGACTATTGATAAGGGCATGTAAAGTGTCTCGACGTTGCGTATCATCGTCCTTGCCTATTAAGAAATTCAGTATACTGGTGTCTTAGAACGAAGCTCCCTAATCACTTACGAGCGGCATTTATAAAATCCTGATAGCGTTCGTTTGTAAACAGTGGATCAGGTAGCTCCCGAAAGAATTGCTTCAAAAGACCGGCTACACTATTGACATCGTGATGGAAGTTCTCAGGGTTCGTAAAATCGACTTGCCTCGAGTCTGCGGGTGAAATAAGTATAGGAAGCATACGAAGTAGATAGACTTTTAGGTAAAAATACGCACCATTATCAAACATTGCTTTCATCCGCTGTATGTGCATGGTGTTCCCCGAAAGTCGGTAGATCCCTTCCACATTTAAACCAAAAAGCTCAACCGCTTGAATGCACTGGTACACGATCATTGGGATCGCAGTGGCATCCCTTCGGAACAAATCCTCCAAGCTAACTCCAAAAACCGGGTTCAACGGGGGTAAATCTGAGTGTTGAGCCGCATTATTGGCAGATGCAGGGCCCGGCGCGGTTACCTGACGGTCAAAACTATGTGATGGACGCGGCTGGGGGGGAGGATAATGCTGAGGATACGGAGTAGTAGTTGGATAGGGTGCAGGAGAGTGGTGTTGCGGCGTCGGCTGCGTAAAGAAAGTCTCCTGATGGGGGTGTTGGAATGTTGGAGGGGGAGGAGGACGGGGTGGTTGAGCATGGTGAAGCTGGGGAGCGTTATGAGGCGTCATTTGAGCAAAAGCCTGTGCTGCGGTTTGAGGAGTTGGCGTTGGCGCAGTATTGATACTCAGGGATTGCCTTTTTGGATGGGCACTTGGATTTTGAGATGTAGTAAGAGTCTAAACATCAGTACCGTATTTTTCTTGAAAACGGGGTTGAATGCTCGCTTACTGGGTGGCGCTCATATCTGATTGTTGTAGAACTCGAGTTAGCCTTAGATGCATGGCTTAGGATATAATCCTTGAAATCTCGCTCGTTATCAACCTGACGGGCGGCTTCACGAAGACTCTTTGGTACGGGTGCATTGTCGTTGGCTTGATGCCTCAAGGGGCTCACTGATAAACCGCTACCAAGCAAAAGCCTCTCGCTGAACGAGGCTGTGAGTAAAATAATTAGCGTGGCTCCATATATCGTGAAGGGGACGACCTTACCAAACTTTTGCATTTGGAGTGCTAGTGCAGAGTCACATTCGTTGATCAAGTCTTGAAGGGCACGTGTGGCTTGCGGCCTGAGAGTGGCAACAAGCTCTTGTTTCTGCGTCTGCGCAGCTTGTACCTTATTTGAATAATCCGTGTCTCCATGTTGAACTTTGCGGAGCAAGTCCTCCTCATGTTGTGCAGCAGACTTGGGTCCCTTCAGTCCAAATTTCCCGGGTTGGCGGTCGCCGGTTTTAGCACGGTCATATTGCTCTGCAAGGTTGTCATATTTGGCTTTTGCTTTCTCAGCTGCCGCCTCAGCTTCCTGGACCCTTTTCTCCGCATTCAGACCATTCTGTTTCCAATGCTTTCGGCCTCGTTCCATGTTGGCTGCCAATTCATTCAAATCCTCCGACATTTGATGAAGGGAAACGGAAAATTGGAGCCCATGATCTGCCATGCGATCGTGTATCTTGTTCATCTCATCGTAGCTTTTCGCAAAACTACCTTGGCGATTGTCCGGCCGTATCGAGGAATCGTGCATGGCACGGGCAAGCTTCTTGAGTCCCTGAGCATGGTCTTCTTCAAGAATCGATCGCTTACGGAGGAAGGTTGCAAAATCCTATAGTCAAAAAAAGGATTAGTACGCCTCTCAAGCGATCAATTGCTGCAAAGGAGAAATTACCCGCGCAGATGAAATGCTTTGTTTCAACCTGTTCAAAAGAGTCAAGACGCCAATCTGTGGTTTACTTGTTAGGATAATGCGCTGGTATATCTGCAAGTTCGGCACGTGCATACATCAGATTGGATCACTTTGTCCAGTTTCTCTTTTTCCTCTTGATTGACTGGCACAACCTGCGGCGCTTCAGCGTCCTTGTTCTGCGGCGAATGGGGAGAATGCACCTCCGCCGTTGGAGTTAGTTCCGGGCTTTCATTGACTGTTGGGTCAGCCATGGTGATGATGTCGTCCACGCGCTGCTAATATGAGCTCTACAGAGCAAAAATCCTCGGCGCAGCGTGAAGCAAGCATTGGCGTTGTGAGCTGATCTGACCGTTGATGCGAGATTAAGTTGACAGTTTGGTGGCATGTGGTTTTGTACGGCGAACAGCACTGACCAACAAGGCAGCCAGTTCTCACTGTTGATTTCATCTTGCCTTCACCTAGTCAGCACAGCTATGATTGAGATCATTAATTTGACAGATCCTGTCATTTAACAATGGCAACTTTGGCTTTTATTCTAGGCTATCTTGACTAATCCTGCTTTGCAAATACTGACCCTTGAAAACTTGAAGTGGACCAACCACTTCTCCCAGCAAACCACCCGATCTACTTCCTGACACTGCCAAAACATGGTGTGGGGGGGAACGACTCGATATCCTACTAGCTTTTAGACTAGTTGATGGGCGCTGAAACGCCTGTTATCAAGCATGGCGCCCCGCAGCATTTGTAGTAGGATTGCTGGGCGAATGTATTGCGCTGGCTGCCCCGGAATCTCCAATCGGCGCCTCATTCGTGCAAACCTGAATCGAAGCTCCTGAAGTCCACGGTTGGCCCAATTGTCAACTCACTAACCGTTTTATTGTACGGATATGAATGTATCATGATACCAGAGTCCTGCGATTTAAATCGAGGCTAGCCAAGGTTCGTGACAGTCGGACGTTGTCGAGTTTGCTCCGCTTTCAAGACCTGATTTTCCGTGCTTAGCTTCATGCACCGGTGGCATCAAACTCCATTGTTCCCTCGTGAAAGGGCTGCAAATTGCCAACTGCCAACTTATAGAATTGATTGAGGTGATTTGTGCCGACCTATTAATGGTACGGCTTCAAAGTAGCCCTTTGGGGCTTTGTTCGAATTGACCGCTCAACATCAATTCTTTGCGCTATGCGGACCCGTTCATAAACTAGAACCTATCGATGGATAAGATTTTGGCGTATCAGCGAATTTATTGGCATCCCGCATTTATTCTAACTTTTAGCTAGAAGCCTAGCATATGTCTGATCACTCATAGACTCCTTGAGGCTAGACATCCGTATTTGTGTTGAGCTCGGATTGGTTTCGAGAGCGAACGGACATGATGCCGCGGTTGAGCTCATCGGGACTCGCTGGTTGGCGGAACACCCCCACAACCCTTCCAGAGCTCTCCGTAACCGATAGTGCTGGGCGAACCTCCTTGAACCTAGGTCTGGCAAAGAGGAATGCGTATTTATAAGTTGGCTGTGCGAATACATATACAACCCATCCTCATATAGCTTCCTCCCAAGCATACCATTCTTAACAATGGCTTCTAAAGAGATCCATGTTGTTGCCACTTTCAAACCAAAGGCCGATAAAATAGACGATGTGAGTCTGGAAAGCGCCCACCGCGTTTATCTCTCTGACGGGAACCAATCCGCATAGGTTGCAAAGATTCTTGCTGAGTCCGCCGCGAACATCCACAAGAAGGAGCCAAATACCTTAAGGTTCTATTTGCTAAGGCCTAAGAAAGGAAACGAGCTCATCGCCGTCGAGAAGTACGTGTTGCGTTTTGGATATTGAGCGACGACTTGCACTCCGTTTAGTGTACACCCGGAACCTAACCAGAATGGCATTGTTAGATATGCGGACGCCGGCGCTCTCAAGGTCCATGGCGGCACGGAATACTTCAAGGCGATGATCGGCAAAGTCACACCATTGTTAGCTGCACCGACAGACTTGAAAATCTGCAACTTTGTCACCGGGTTTGAGGGTAGACCATCCAAGCTATAAAGTCCAAAAAAGATGGCAGCTCATCGGAGCAGGCAAGAGGTTTTTCGGGAGCGATTAACTGCCGGGGCTATCCTGGAACTATCTGAGCTCACTTGAGAATGAATAACTGGGAGAGAAACGGGGAGAAGAGGTAAAAGAATGAAATGCTAGGCAAATTAGGCCGGATATTCACGGTATTACCTGAGATAAAATCACCAGAGAAAGGAGATTAGAAATGGTATACAGAGTAATGTCTAGGTCTATCGTTATCTCGATTCGAGACCCCCGCAAGTATCTTTGCGAGCTTTCCCCAGAGGGCCAGAGCTGTGTATCCAAACGGCAAAGGCTCTTAACCCCGTTTGCAGCTCGCCGTATTTTGTGCAATCCAGTGAACACAGGCCATGCTTCACGACCAATAGTCTTGCAAACTCGCCACAGCGAGGTCCTCCAGGCTGGGATTTTCTGTCCTCCCTGAAGAGTGACAGGTGACTCGCCCCAGGATGGCACGAATAGGGCTGCAGCAGTTAGCTGGGCGAGCCCTAGCGCAGGATGGCCCGTCGGCCTCAGCGGTTGATCAATTCAAAATAATAGCACATGGCCCCCATTCTGCTATATATAGAGTATCACACCACCTTTATATTTCCGCGGCACCCTATTTTTGTTAGTCGAAACCCGAGATCTGTAGAGAATCGTGCGGTGAAGAGGATGAAGCTGGCGGCCAGGCCGAAAGGGGTGTCACGATGCTCCGTACCATCGACAGGGTCCTGGGCCTCAGAGAATCCTGTCAGTGAGAATGGTTTGACATCTGTTCGAAGATTCGAACGAACCTTGGTAAGGCATCCCGAGCGTAACCATGGGCGTTATTGGCTGCGGGCATCGAGATGAGACGCTGCGCCAAGTGCCCCCTGTTTACCAATCAATGCACGCTGCCGCCAAGAAGCCCAGGACGGAGGTGTCGACTAGTTCGCATGCCCCATCGTCAACTCCTGGCTGCTTGGGGCGGATCGTGCCTCTCACTCCTCGCTATCCTGCTGCTGTTGCTTTTGGGCGAAGAACCATCTGCTGGACCCAGATTGCCCTGCTACCATCTCGAACTCAGGATCAGGCCCCAATCTTTCCCTCCGTCTCCTGCTGCTCGAACCTCCGTTCGCGCTGATCAGTGCCCGTATCCCGATCGCTCTCCCTTCCCACAGCTCCGGCAACCTCCCTTCTCGACGACGATTCACGACCTTCGCTGTTAGACTTCTTTCAGACGTATTCACACTCTCAATATTTTCTCTGTGCTGTGCTGCTTGCTTTGTTTTTAACTTCGTCTACGACTGGCTCCGCGGCTCATACCCGAGATAACCGTCGGTTGCAAAGGAAATAATCAACGAGAGCTCGGAAAACGCTGTTGGCAGTGCTAGATCCTCAGTGCTAGCTGCTGTTCTACTTGCGAACTCAAAGCAAGCGAATTCAAGCTGTGCAGTCTGCCTTTCGGGTTCTGTGACTTCTGTGATTATCGCTTGGAAGAGGGTCGCCCCAAACTCATCCTCGCACCCTCTAGTGCAACGCATTTTGATATTCAGTAATAATTTCCAAGTTTCAGCTCTAGGGAAAGGTCAGTTTTCATTGTCACCTTGAGTTTTGCCTGATTTTGTATGGTAAACAAACCAGTGCTGACTGAGCTTGAGTTGTCAGGCCTCTGGACAGCTTCTAACAGCCTCTTCATCTCGTTCTCGTCGGTCCAATCTCATCTTCCAAAGTTCGTCTATATCCTATATTCCGGAAGCATTCTCAACACAGGCTCCCAAATTACGTGACAAAGATGGCTTCTGGACCTGCTACTCAGTCTCTGAAGGTTGGTCGCCATCCTGTGACTAAACCCTAACCTACTTGAATATCCCCTCTGACAGTTTGTTTACTTCTTAGTGCGTTGTTACCGGTGATGGTGCAGTGGGCAAGGCAGGTGCAGGAATACCAACATTAACCAACATTTACTAACAAGCCTCAGACTTGCCTTCTGATTTCATACACCACCAATGCCTTTCCTGGGGAATATATTCCAACTGTGTATGGCGCAACCCTGCTTCGATATTTGCTGTATATTAATACTAAACTGTCCCAGGTTTGACAACTACTCAGCAAGTGTTATGGTGGATGGTAAGCCAATTAGCCTTGGACTCTGGGACACTGCAGGCCAGGAAGATTACGATAGGCTGCGCCCACTATCCTACCCCCAAACAGATGTCTTCTTGATCTGTTTCTCAATCGTTAGCCCTCCATCATTCGATAACGTTAAGGCGAAAGTAAGTCCATGTTAGATTTGAGGGCTGGTTGGTATTACCCAGGGTCTAATGTTCGTTTCAAATGTAGTGGTACCCGGAAATCGAGCATCATGCCCCTGGTGTTCCAATTATTCTCGTCGGTACTAAACTCGATTTAAGAGACGATAAAGGCACGAATGACAACCTTCGTGCGAAGAAGATGGAACCGGTCAGTTACGAGCAGGCTTTGGCTGTTGCAAAAGAAATCAGGGCCCAGAAGTACCTGGAATGTTCCGCTTTGACCCAACGAAACTTGAAGAGCGTCTTTGATGAGGCAATTCGGTATATTTCTCCTGTGAGGATGGTCGCTAGTAACCGATTTTGCTAACATTATCCAGAGCTGTTCTGAATCCCCGACCCGTAGCGAAGCCAAAGGCAAAGAGATGTAGCATACTCTAAGGACTCTAACACGCTTTCTCTCAGGGAACCCTGCGCTAAGACAATATCTCAATCCTACCACTTCGAAACCTTCAACCTTAGCGTACCCACGATCTTGCATATTCTTGGTAGTAGATACCCAACTTGTATTCGGACCAATCGTTTCTCTTAGCTCGATACAAAGTCCTCTTGAAGTCTGACGCAGCGAGCATCGGCCTTTTCCGTCATTTGTACGTGATCGATCATTACAAAACATGTCAGATACCCCGGGGTGAATAGAGTACATATACAACCAGTCTCGCCGCTACTCGTTTCAAAGCGTGCTTCGATACCGTTGACTTGTGCGTGCAAACCATGGCCTGTCCGGAAGAGCATGTATTGAATGGCTCCTGTACCATTTCGAGAGCGTATACACCTAATCTTAAAAAACTTCCATTCCCCAGCGTTCGTACACGAGTTTTCCCGTCTTTGAATCTGAGCCCCGGTTTCCATACCCTCTGAATGTCCATATCAATGTCAGTGTTGACTTTTTTATTGATTTGATAGCCATTTGCTTGCCTTTGCACAACTTGATGATCTGCCTACATAGCCTTTTGAATTACTTCGTTTGCCAAATTTCATGACCTTGTTGTTTTCAACTTTTCAACCGTTTCAATTGCATGGTGGAGTACAAATCAGCGTTATAATCCCGAAAGCTTTCCCTCTCCCGTTCATGGACTGGATGGCTCTATCAATCCCGCCCTGTATACTCCTGTGATAAGAACTTGGGTACATATAGCAAACGCGCCATGCGCCCATAATTTATCAACTCTTTAACACAAGTCGCACTATTGGAACCAAAATCTTCGGCTGGGGTGTAAATCACCATAAGGGGCTTCCTCAGCGCCGTCATTGCCCGTCTCATCATTTTGCTGGCCAGCCTCTTTCTTTTTCTCTTCAACCCTCTTACGCTTTGCAGCCTCCTTCACCGCACGCGCTCGCTCTTCGTTAAGTTTCTTGTTCTTCTCCTCGATTCTTGCTTTACGAGTTTCCGACTTGGAGCCCCCACCGCCAGCGCTAAAGTGACATATATCAGCAGCTTCAACATATCCGGAATGGGACCAATAGGGCATACGTTAACTCAATACCAATCTTTCTTGCAGGCGATTTCCCGTCGTCGAACATAGTATGATGGTACAACTTCAAACATGTCTTCATGCGATCATAATTGCCGAACTCTACGAATGCGAAACCCCTGGCTTTCTTGCCGTCTCGTTCTGTGGGAACACGTATGTGAATGGGTTGGAGTTTTGCGAAATGCTTGGAGACGGTCTCGTGGTTGGCGCTGTAGGGGAGATTACCTGTTGAGCGAAAAAGGTTAGTAACTAGTGGATATCGTAGCGAGTGAATACGCACTGATGAAAACAACGAATCGGGCTTGCTTCTGGTCGGGATGGATATGGTCATCGCCCTCGTGCTGCGCGTCTTCTCCTTGAGGTTGCTCGTCCTGGCCATTTGAAGTTGCTTCGGTGGGATTCGGTTCTTCTGGCTTCACCTCTTCACATCCGTTGGCTTTGGCTCGTTTCTTCTCTTTTTTCTCCTTCTTCTCCTTTCTTTCTTGCTTCTTTTTATCTTTCTTCTCCTTCTTTTCCTCTTTATTTTCTGCTTCCCCGTTCGTAGTAGCCTCAACCCCGTTGTGCGTGGTCCCGTCCTCTACGACTTTCCTTTCTTGTTTCTCTTTCTTTTTATCCTTCTTCTCTTTCTTGTCTTTCTTGTCTTTCGTTTTCTTTTCCGACTTCTTATCTGATTTCAGCTCCGCGTCCGTGATCCCATTTTGTTCAGCGGCTTCATCCCTCGAGAGTTTTTTCTCCTTCTTGCTTTCTTTCTTCGTTTTATCGCCGGCACTTTTCTTCAGTTTTTTGACATCAGCAACTTCGACAGCATCCTCCACAGCTTCGCTGCGTTTCCGTTTATCGCCCATTGTGGGTATTGTCTATTTTCTTGTTTGCGCTGCTCGTAGATTCGACGTGAGACCTCGAAGGTAAAATCGATTCGGCTTTTGGAGGAAGTACGGAGTAAAACCCAGAGGTTATACGCAGCGATGAGTCGCAGATATACTTGCGACCAGGCAGCAGCTAAGTAATCACTGAGGCTCCGTGGGTGAGCAACCAAACCCAATTGCATATGAGATTTGACTTTTCGTGAAATTATTCTGCCAAATGCATTGAAAGCGGTGAAGGCTCTTGGAGGGCGCTAACTAGATAAACTGATAACAAGTTCATCTCAACAGGACACACACCAACCTTGTCAACACGGAGTATGATGGGCAGCGTTACAGTTGGAACAATGCACCTGAGCGCTTCTACCTCAGTCAAATAGACCAAAACACTTTCAATTTCATATCTGGGCTAATCGGTTATTATCCCTCTACCGTACTCCGTACAATACATGAATATATGTAGCTAGCCCATCGGGTTTCTGATATCGTCTTCCTGCCTATATAATCCTCTTCGTGCATCTGCTGTGTTCCGCAATCCTGATCTTAACAAGCAACAGAATTTTAAGAATCGGAGAAAACACGCCTGAAGAACGAAATTTCGAGTCACGATCGGTCAGAACAAGAGCGATAAGGGACAACCGGAATACCCAGGATTCTTTCGGTGCATGGAAAAAGAAGCATAGCGCTTATAAGTCCCGGCATACCTATCCATCCGTGGTTAGGAGAAGCTTAATGGGAGGTCTGTAGACTTTTATACTATCCAACTCACTTTATCGCCTTTATCGCCAAATTTAACACAGCGCCCTTTACAACATTTGAAAAACCGGTTCAAACAAGACGAACCCTCTCGGATACAATGGGACGCAGGGCTCCCAGCCATGGCAAACTGCGCGCTGCTGACGAAGAGAAGCGTAAACCACAGGAATTTCATGTTGACTGGCACCGATAAGGTAAACTCGAGAGGAGGATTTAACGCGGGCGTTGACAAACAGAATCTCAGCTGACTCTCAAAAAGGATTCAACTTGCCTACAAAATAGCAGAAAAGCTGATCACTGGAAAAGGTTTGCAACTGGTATCTGGCTGGACGCATGCTTCTTATATTGCGAAAAGCATGATCCCTTTGGTCATCGTTGCTGGTTTCTCAGCAACTCCGTAACAAAGAATTTTGAACATCAAGTGGGAAATGGTGCTACAATCCATGCAATACCGGAGCAGAGCGTATGTTGCTTCGAAGGGATTGGCCAAACGTAGAGGTTCATTTGGTAGTACATACTCCGTCCATACATGCCCCTATAGGTATTGTGCCCGTAGCGGTCTGTGCACTAGACGGTGGCTCAACCTTCGCTTAACCAAGCCGGAGACTAAACGGAATGAGCCAGATAAAACTCGCCAAAACAAAGTGATAATGAGAACTCGCATTCTTTATTCCAATAATATTGATGGTTGGTGTTTCTGCGCAGTTTAAATAATCCATTCTCCTGAAGTGGCCATTCATATTGTTAAGAATGTATACTCCGTACATACATGCATGTAAGTATTCACACACATCGGAATACAGGCCATTGCTTTTCATACCTGTTCCAACAACGATTGTTGGGGCAGCGGAGCCAGTAGCAAGGTTTTTAGCTCTATACTTTGCTACAGATTAGCATACCGTAAGGTATCAAGATGCGCCTTGCTGATTCGTGGCGATAAATGCAAGGATTCGCACATCAGGTGCGACTGACTGCCCCCAAATGGCTCCAAGGCCGAAGCGCCGCGGGGAAGCTCGAAAATTCCGGAAGGCCGCGACGTGCACATGATAAAACGGCGGGCCCAGTAGTAGCCATCCGCTCAGAACCGGTTATTGAGGCTTATCTCCAAAGTTAGGCTATGTCGTACTGGTACCCATCTCAAAACACTAATATTTCGACTTTGTCATCTTTCGACTTATATCGATCCTGTAAGTCTGCACGATTAAGCAGTCTGAGCAATGGAAAATGTAGGTCTTTCATGTCGAATATGCCTCGTTTCTTTTGGTCGATGTACGATCCGTCTATCACGATCCGCTTCAAGGAATCAAGGTTCAGAGCCCCTATAAACCGGTTAGACTGCAGGCTCTCAAGCGAAAAGGAGCGCGAATAACATACCTGTATCAATAAGATCATTCAGACGGACCGGTGTGCCTATTCCTATGCCGACCCTGCCGCACCTTTTTAGTTCCCTGCAAAGTAAACGCATTCGGAAATACAAACCTCGTCTTTTTAACAAATTCTTGAGATTCAGCGAGCTTGATATGCTTTGCAAACAGTTTAGCAACAGCGCAGTCTTGATTTTGAAATTGCCGCAATGCCCTTGTAATAGTTAGTTATGTGCTATGTTTCTAGTCAAGCCAGGTAATGTATGTACCTTGTAAGGTCCGCGGCTCGGAGTCCAGCAAGTGTCACCAGGAGGGTATGTGGGCTGCCATTAGCCTCTGCTGCTTGCGATAGTAATGATCCCTTCTTCGGGCTGTATTTTTTAAGGAACGCCGGTAGATTCTCAAGGGTTCTAGGTGACTCCCAGAGCGTCGTGTCGGTGAAGGCATAATCTTGAAAAGGTTAGCCATAGGGTGTCACAACAACGCTCATAGTTTAGCGCAAAGTGATTTATTTAAAAATAAATCAAAACATGGTAACATCAGAGCGCGGCTGCCACATACCAGGGACGTATATATCGTCCAGCTCAACGGCAGTCAGATCTTTATTATGCCGCTTTGCCTTCTGCGCGAGGTAGTCTGCCAGAAGCTTCCCGTCCATTTTGCCAATCGACTCGTCAATGCTATCCTTCTTGTCTGCGTCTTTCACATCATCCGCGGGCTGCTTTGCTTTCTTTTGTTTCTTCCGCTTGCGTCTTGCTCGTTCAGCGCTGGTGGTAACAGGGACGGTCTTGTCTGCCGTATCTTCGTCATTTTCTCGTCCTCTTTTCCGTTTCACTTTCGTAGATGTTGCTATTAAAGAGGAAGCCATATTCAATAATCCTTTTGAAAAAGCCCAAGGATATCAATCGTGAAAACGCATTTCATCAGTGCCTTGATCGAAATTTGTGATTAGTCATCGGACGGCATCGCGCACGGACCAATGGAGCTGCCATCGTCACCGCGCACGCGTTGAGGATTCCGTGAAACTGGCGATCTGGGAATTCGGCGCGGAAGCCGAGCTGCTTTGTTAATATAGCAAAGTTGCTTTGAGAATATTCCGTTTGGCTTTTCCGATTAGTTTGGCGATACCCAATGGCCACACCTACCGGGACAACCCCGCAAGGTGCTCCGCGACGGCGGCGTGGAAGCGCAGGAGCGGGACCAAGTCCTGTTCAAAATACACCATACAATACCGTGAGTACCCCATTTCCTCCACTGCAGATTGACCTTCTGTAACACTTGAATAGCTACAGCGATTGACTGAGATGATCGGGGACCCTACCACTCCAACCGGACGCCCTCGAAGGTCGCTCTCCGCAAGCCGCGTCTCGTCACGTCGGAGTTCCCGTAGCCTTGCCGGCGCCAGAATTTCAGGTGTGATTCCAGGTGGTAGCCATGCACCTGCTACTCCGCATGCGCTAAAGGCCTTTCAAAGGCGTGCGGCCGCCTATACCCCTGGACGTGATCGGCGGAAGAGCGGTCGGGTTCAGAGAGAAACGCCGTTGGACATTTTGAGGAATCTAGGCAAAGGTCAGGATACGATGTTTACAACGCTTCGAATGCCCAAGTGCGAAAATACACTGACAGAACATTATGAACCTTAGCACTTGCTCCCACCAGCGAAGTTATTAAAACCTCCCCAACGACAGAGCCAGAAGACGAACTAGAGCGAGAAGAGAGTGATGATGTAGACCAAGAGCCAGATATGCCGAGGCCTAGACTTTCTCTACCAATGGATGAAATGATTGTTCCCGGGCAAGATGATGACGGAAGCCCTGAAATTGCGCCTCCTCGACTATCCGTCCTGCCTGACGAGGATGATTTTACGCAGCGATCAATTGAAATGCCACGAAGGGAACGAGCCGCTCGAGATCTCGCAACGCTTTCGAGATATAGTTTGATGAGTACGAGATTCAGCGAAAACTTCGGAGACGCAACTCGGTTGGAGGATACGGAAGAGGGTTTAGATTTCACTGCTGAGCAACAAACTGATAACTTTGTTGATGACCAACTTGACGTAACTATAGAGGAGCCGACTTTCGACACGGGGTAAGATAGATCCTTTTTTATTTTTAAGGGTATGTTGTTCTAATTTACATAAGGGGTGAGACTGAGGATTTGCGGCGGTTCGACCTCAATTTTTCATTTCCAACACCAGATGCTCCTCAGCACATCGAGAATGAAAACGAGGACTTCTTTTTGGATGCCACAATGCCTATTGCTGATGATGCTTCTCTTTCGTCTGGCGATGACTTTGGAGCAGAAGGTTTGGAGCTGGCAGCGCCAGAGATGTCGAGGATGGCTTCAAGTCCCGTCCCCGAATCGTCACCAGAGGCCGAAGCGCCTCAAACATTCCAACAGGATCAAGATAAACAGAAACTTTCACGGCATGGAACTCCTATCCCGAGTCTGCCCCGCGGAATTGTCAAGAAATTAGCCACTCGGTTCGCTCGAACAGGAAGCGGAGGCAAAACAAGACTATCGAAAGAGACCCTTTCTGCAATCGAACAGGCCACGGATTGGTTCTTTGAGCAGGCGAGCGAGGATTTGACTGCCTTTTCCAAACATTCCAACCGCAAGACAGTAGACGAAACCGACGTCATAGCTCTCATGAGAAGGTAATATTCGACCCATCTGGAGACCCATAGAACAGCGACTAACGTTATGTAGACAGCGGCAAATCGGCAAGGGCGCATCTGTATTTTCCCTTGCGCAGAAACACTTGCCAAAAGAGTTGCTTCAAGATATCCGCTTCGGTAAAAAGTGAAGAGCCACCCACGGGTCACAAACCCCATCATTCGGATTGGGTCACGATACAATGAGGGGAGAGATAAATGAGACGCGTTCTACCAATTCTTACTCTGCCGGACTCTCCTGGTGGTCGCGTTCGGTTTTTTCCGAACCACCATCCACAACATCACCGCTGTGGCTAGGGACAGCCCGTACCTGCAGTTGACGTGTTAGCCGTGGAAACACCAAAATATTTGCGCATAGGTACTTAAGATGCATCTCTCTCTTACCATGTAAAAATATACTGGGTATGGTTGTTTCTGAGGTTGACCTCGGGAGCACGACCAATAGGTATTCCGTTCGCTTCCCTTCGATACTGTTCCAACAGCTCCGGTACTATTGCCGATCAGCAGCTCCTCTAGGAACGTTAATTTCACGCGACGAAGACCATACCCATAGTTTCTTCGATCCATATAGGCTGGCTTCCTGTCAATTCAGCCATTTGTTTTACATCTGGAAAGTAGAACTTTCCCTCTTCTGGCTTATTTTCAGGGGTGAACATATTCTTCTTCCACGGCGATCGAAGCAGTCCTTCCACAACGACTTCTCCCTGCGGTAAGCCTTGCGGTCTTTGCCTCTGATTCTCTAACGATTTTGGGATCCAACCACGGTTGATGAGAATTGTGCTCTCCCCATCTCCTCTTTCCAGCGGGGTGATAACAAGGTACCCGTCTTTACCCTCGTACATCCGCGGGCCGATTAACATTTCTTGGTCATGCCTGAAATGGCCCTTGGCATACACGCGACGATAATCGAACTCGGAAATCGCTTCAGGATCGACGGCTGGTGGGAGAGGAAGCGGGGGTTTAAGAAGGCGATCCTCAAAAGTGGTTATTAACTTAGTTTTCCAATCAAGTCGTTGCACCTGCCAGGTTCCAAGGGCAAAGGCAGTGATGGGAATCAGAGCTAGATACACAATCCCAAATTAGCACAATCCGATGCAGCCTCACGAGCAATGAATTGAAAGTTTTGAATGCACACCTAGTATGATCAGGCCCGGGCCATGTTTCTGGCCGGTCCGCACAGGTTTCGATGGGTTGTCGGCAACCGAGATCCAATTGGGATCATCTGCTGGAGTATGTGCAAGCCGGGCTTGCTGCCGCTGCTGTCTCCAGCACCGTGAACAAGCATTCGAAAGGCCATCGGAGTTGCGATGGCGGGATGGACGTGAAAATGCGGAGATCAAACTCCTCCGGAGGAAGAGTGACGATTTCATCTGTTTCTGCACATATGGACAGGCCTAAATAGCAGAGTTCCAAGATCTGTAAAAGGACCTAAGCGGCTGCCTCCCAGAAAGCCGTAATACGGGTTCCAATCCAAACGAATGTAATCAGTGAATCCGTGCTTCGACCACCCTGATATTCCGTCGCAGTCTCATGAGAACGGCGATGATGACTAACAAGCCTCGGCTGACTAACTAGTTAGCGCCATTTGCCTCCTTTTTTAATGATGACATCGACTGAAGCTCCTCCGCCACCCCCAGGCTTCATCATCTTCCACTTCATGTGTCAACAGTTCTCAACCTCGAGCAAGCACACCGACAATGGACGGGCCGTCGCGAATTCGCGAATGGGTTCAGTCGAAATTCGGCCGCAAACATTATGAAGAACCCATAGCCCCTGAGGCGCCGGCGTTTTTGTCAAGTCTTTCTCTCGTTTCCAAGCACCAGCGTTCTGTTTCTTCCTCGCTTTCAAGAACTGCTGAAATTTCAGATCCTGTCCCCAAGGCTGTGGCTAACAGCCCTTTGTTTAAATTGCCTCCGGAGCTCCGCAATTTGATTTATGAATTCGCATTTGGTGGTCGTATTCTTCACTTGGAATTGCAACCTAAGTTCATCTGCATGTATCCTGTTGGTATGAGCCTTGGATACAAAAGCCAGTATCATTGCGACGATAGCACGGAACGGGAATTCTGGCACTGGTGGAGCTCTGTGTGCAGACGACACCCGGTCAAAGACCCTTGGATGGACCACTGCCGTCGAAATTGGGCTGAATCCTTGCTATTCCCGTCTGGAAAATGCCCGCTGGGTATCATGGGCTTTATGCTCACTAGCCGACAAGCGTGAGTTCCGACTGGAAGCCCCTTTGTGTTGGCACGTTTGCTTCAATACATGTGGAAATGCTCTACACAAGGCCCTTGGTTTCGTCCCGCCATCCTAGCTTACACTTCAGTCTCGTGAGACAAGCCTGCTTCTTGAGGTTGAACCTTGATTTCATGAGAAACAGCGATTATCACCTAGCCTCGTGATTTGGCTACTGAGACGAAGATTGCCAGCGAAGAGGTTTCGCTGGAGAATGACGAGAGTCCTTTGAATACCTTTCTCGTGTCAAAGGCGGGATATGTCGACTGTTATACAAATGTACCCCCTTTTTCAACCGTTGCGTTCCATGCAAGTTACTGCAATGCAATGAACTTTTCAACTTGGGAACCAGCTGACTTGCGCTTCTATTAGCTACGCCGAATGCATTGACGTGCTTTACAGGGCCAATACTTTTTATACCAGCAGCACGCTCCTCATGCGTAGTTTTCCGGCTCTTGTGCCTTCAAGGCATCTGCACAGAATCACGTCATTAGAGTTGAGCTTGAAGCTGTTTCTACTGGATGGACCAGCCCCGTTGAAGGAAGACACACTTGTAGGCTGGCCTACTCTCGACGTGATCATTTCGATCATTGTGTCCCATTTCAGGTCTCTACGAATGCTATATCTGGCTGTCCACACTGGGAATGCCACGGCTTTTCCTGGTCAACGACGCGAAATTTCCGACGCGGAGTTCGAGAGGCTCTGGTCCAGGACCGATAAAATTTCTCGCTCGTTCGGAAAGCAACTACGGACCTTTGTGCTTGCTCCTCAGGCCAGCGTGTTTTTGGAAATTGAGGATATGGCTCGACAGGCACCGGCCGATGTTGAAAACCCCACCCTTCAAATGCGAGATGGCCGGGTTTGGCGAAGTGTTACCACTGAAGATCCGGAAGTTGATGATTTGGGTTTTTGGATTGAACAGGGCGCAGGGGATTATATGGCCCTTTGCAATGTGGACGCCGCTTTAGAAAGAATTAACGCCTGAATAAATGAAAATTCGCGATGATCAAATTGAAGGAAATCAGAGAGCTGAGAGAAGAGAAAAGAAACAAAGTAAAGGCGAAGGATCGTTCACCGGCTTTTCTATCTTTTCTAAAGGAGTTTGGGGGCATTTCACCGATCGGCTTTGCTTGTTCAGTCAAAAGCTTTTGGTTGCTGCAACTTCTGGAACACTGACACAGCAGTGTTATACAAGTGGAAAGAAGCCTGGGACCATGAAATTGGGATTGAAAATTGGTGATTCGTCTTCCATTATGCATATATGCACGTCAAAAATGCCAACTCGAATATATTTATTAGGTGTTTCCTTTCTGTACTATTACGGTTATTGGCTTTTCTTGCAGGGTTTTTTTCTCTTGCCATGAAAAGTATGCTGGTGTTTAGTGTATGTATCATTATGTAGTTACATATTCAAAAGTGTCTTCGAAATCAAAAGCTGCACTAAATGAATGAAGTCCTCCATGGATAAGATGCATCTGGAACAAGACAACTCTGCCCACATACTCAATTAGCATCCATCTTTGCCGCGATTATGTCTATATCTTCATCCTTCATCACTTCTACCGCCTTTTCAACCACATCGACCCAAATTGGCGGCCTCGAGAGTCGTTCCTCCCCAACCTTTTCGATATCTAGTCCCCATTGTAGTAAATTGTCTTCACTTGCCCATTCTCCCATCCCCATCAGTCCAACGGGGACTTTGCCTACCGTGTCCGTTTCTGCCACTTCGCCGGCGCCAGGTGTCCCTTCAGGAATCACAAATCCTGCCGGAACATTTAAGGCGGGGATACCTGTAAAATTGGCCATCCAAACGTATTCCATCGTCTTTAAGGTTTGATTTCCGTCGTTAATTCCATGTTTTAGTTCCGATTCGGAACGAATCGGCCACCCTGCACAGCTCGTGGTAGGCGTTACAATGATCATCCCGGGGTATTCTTTCCACAGGTAAGCGAGGTGCTGCATAAGAAGCTGCCGAAGTTTCTGAGCAAGCAAGAAATCCGTCGCTGGGGTGATGGTGCCAAGACCAATCATGATTTTATTCGCAGCAGTCAGACCTTCAGTGTCTGGAAGAAGGGTAGCGGCGTCCGTGAGGACTGTCATGGCGTGGGCAGCTTGCCCTTCTTTAAGGTAGGGGATCTCTATCGGAATAAGTGTGTAATCGCACGCGGAAACGAGCTTATCCAAGAGTGAGTGGCAGAGTTGTTGAATTGCCGGAGTCGATTGGGAGAACCAAGCTTCTGGAATGCCCAGGACCTTATTCCTCGGACGAATAGGAGGAGCCAGCGGCGGCGAGAGGGTTGGGAAGTGAGACGAAGGGTGCGGCGTGCCGATAACGTGGTAGAGAAGTGCGAGAGAGCGTATATCAGCAGCAATGGGGCCGTTCACTGCGCAAGTATTGGAATGGTTACATCCTGGGCGGTGAGAGAGTCTGCTGTGCGTAGGTTTTAACCCGTATACGGAGCAGAAGGAGGACGGTATACGGATACTCCCGCCGCCGTCACTCCCTAGAGAGATCGGGATTAGGCCAGCGCTAACAGCGTATGCTGAGCCCGAAGAACTGCCTCCGGTGTAGTATTGACTATTGAAGGGATTGCGTGGTGTACCGTGGATGGGGTTATTCCCGGATGTGTCTGTGAATATAGTGAGAAACATGCGCTACTAGAAAGATAACCAGAGGACAATAGCAATAGATACCCAGACCAAATTCATGCATGGCAAGTTTCCCAAGTATAACAGCTCCAGCATCTTCCAGTTGCCTCACGCACCAACTAGTGATTGACTTTTCAGGCAGTGCAGCACTAGTGTAATCATTTGCAGAGCCTAGACAAGTCCTATAGCCATCAATGTCATACTCATCTTTGACGGCTGTGGGGACGCCATCTAACAAGCCAATCGGGCACTTGTTTTTATACCGTTGGGTCGAAGCCTCTGCTGCAGCCAAAACCAGGTCAATTTTGGTATCAAACCAAGCTAATGAATGCTCTCCTGGTGGCGTGATATCTCTGCGGATCAGTGGGATTATTGCTTTTGCAACTGCAATTGGTGTCAGTTCACCTGACATATACATATTATGGTAGTCCGTGACCGAGTAGTAGTTTCCATGTTGTCGTTCCAACGTTGACTGGCTTTCAGAGTGGAGGAGAATCTCATTCTCTCGTTCTGCATTCCCCGGGTCAGGCAAGGGGATAACGGTCGGGTCAAACCTGGGTTCATAGTCGCCCAGGTCCTCTCGAATACGGCGCAAAACGCCAAACCCAGCATTGAACCAAATCAACTTTCGAAGGAAAGGTAGCCATTTGAAGCTATTGAAAGTCATATCAGCCTCATTATATTTCGTCTTTTGGTATCTAGTTAACTAACAGAAACGCCCCAATGACCACCACTATTCCTCTCATCGCGGGGTTCGGTTTTCTATCATTGTGATACGAGATATCAGGCCTATATAGTAATGTTACCACACAATATTGTAGGTGCGGCTGTCTGAATGCGAGGATCCGGGCACTTACCCCTTCTTAGCTTCCGGATAATTGAGGAAATTTGGGCTGTCTATTGAACCCATCATTCGCTTTCTTAGACAGCAGAATTACCTGAATTTAGGATGATTTGATTTGGATAATTTGATATTATTCTTTTTGTGGGCAAATATGTGCTCGAGTTGTGAAGACGCAGGCTCAGGATTGATATCATCAATGATGCTATCCAGACGAGGTGAGCTTATTTAACGAAGGGTTACCGGCACTGGCCGGAACTCCTCGCTAGAAATGCGATCTAGATCCGCAAGTATGATGGAAAAGAGGCAAGAGGTGCATTACAAAAGCAATTAATCTTCAGGCCAAACTCAGAATGGGCAGAAGATACTCCGTACGGAGTATGTGGATAGAAACACGCGAGTGTCGGTGGTTTCGGTTTCACTTGTGCGACCCGAGCCTTTCCACGGGGTCCTGCTGCAGAGACGGGTTTGTGATGAACCGGGGATTCGGAAAACAGTCCCTACGACGTGGAAGCATGGCTAGCTTGTAGCGTGCGCGGGACAATGGGCCCAGACAGCAGAAGTGCCCTCTGTGAGGAACATCTCGAAGATCGACGTCGAGTTTGATATTCCCTGTGACGAAACTAGTCCGAGTGGTCCGTGCATCCCCGCAAGTCGGCTTTCCGCTTTGTCAACCTGCAACGACGGCAACCGTTGGATTGTCGACAGCTCACCATGTTCTACAACGGCGATTTACAGAGTGGCATTGCGCTCGCTGTCGAGCAGGCAAAGCCGGTGATATGCTTTGTTCGAGGTATTGTACATACATATTAAACTACCCCCAATTTATAATATTCTACTTCTCCTAACAGCTGGTATTAGATGACGGAGAGGAAAGCGCTAAATGGGAGAACGAATATCTTGGGGACGAAGGAGTAAGTTTGCAATTATGAAAACTTTTGCTGGGATGTTGCTAACCATCCTGCAGGTTTCCCAATTGTTAACGTCCAACAGCATAGCACTGAAACTGGCTGCCGGTTCTCAGGAAGCAGGGTTTCTAGCCTCATTTTGTCCAATCAATATAGTGCCAACAATTGTTGCGATAAAGTAAGGGAAATCGTTGTATTAATAGCTTCTCTTGGGCTAACATCTTGGAGGAACGGTCTTCTTCAGGAATACATTGTCTCAGGAACGAGCGAAGATGAGCTGAAGAAACGGTTGAAAGCTGTCCTCTTCCCAGTGGACCCATCCCAACGACAGCAACTGCCACAGACACCAGGAGCAATGGCTCAGGCATCCCATCAACTCCCAAATCCTTCGCTGGAGCCTCACGATCGTAATACCGCAATCCCAGTTTCCGAAACACACGATGAGGAAAGCCTCCCAGAATCTACAAGACGTGAGGAGATACGACAAGGTAAGAGGCGTGCTGGCTTTCCGGAAACAGCACCCGAATCTGCGGCCCCTGCGAAAAATACCCAGCAAGCCTGGAGACAGCAACAATCAAACAGGGCGCGGCAGGAGAGAGAAGAAAGAGAGCGTGTCCTGGCCTTGATACGATACGACAAAGAAGAGCGCAGAGCAAAGGCGGAGCGTCAAAAAGAGCAGCAAGCTCCACAGCAAAATACTCAGAATGCCCAAGAGCATATCAAAGTAGCCGCACGAGAGTCAGTGTCTGAGTATCGTCTCCAAATTCGCCTGTTTGATGGCGGTTCTATTCGGTCGAAATTTGCCCCTGAGCAGACTATACAAAGCCACGTACGCCCGTGGATTGATAGTCAGCGCAGTGACGGAAACACGCCGTATAATCTTAAGCAAATACTAACCCCACTTCCAAACAAGACTATATCCATTTCGGAGGAGGGCCAAAGTCTCAGCGACCTTGGCTTAGGCCCGACAGCTAACCTTGTTATGGTACCCGTACAAACCTACACAGAAGCATACGCAGGCTCGGGGTCTTCACTTCCGGTTCGAGGTTTGTATGCCGGATATAATCTAGTAACCGACACGGTTGGGACAGTTGCAGGTGCCCTAGGCTATCTCCTTGGTATCGGGCAGACAACACCACATCCGACCGTGGAGCCTAACCAAGCGGGTCCCGTAGCAGAATCAACCTCATCAATTGGGGGTGGTGCAAACGATGCCCGTAACTCACGCTTGCCTCGTTCCAATAATGTGAGAACATTATACGATGAACAGTCAAACCATGGGAATCAACAGTTTTACAATGGGAATCAGGTATGTTTACAGCGAGTAGATCAGGTATTTACAATGACTAAAGTACTTTATTAGCTAAATTTTGAACCACGAAGAGATCAAGGCAAAGATGACTAGTTCCGCTTTCTATCATAATCAACAAATTCTTCCAGAAAAGCGTGAGATGACTTGCACTTTCATACTGAACTCCTGTGCCAAACCCAATTAAACTGGCTCTATATTGCATATCATCTCTCCAACGATTATTTCGTCTCCGCAGTCATATTCCCCTATCTCACCAAAACTTTTTGGCGAAAATGCCAGTTCATCAGAAGCCCTGGTCTCTTTTCCCCTGTCTGCTGCCGGCAAATTAGGCTGTTCTGGCATCGATCCAAGCGGGTTTATTGACACACCTAAGAAATTGGTTAATGATTGTTGCTCGGCGTGCTAGCCCAGGCATGCGGTTCCTGAGGCTGTATTTTCTTTGTTAACGGCTATGTTTCATTCACGATTATGTATAGTATTATATCCTTGAGCCTTGTCTCGCAGAAACTGAACAAGTAGAGTAGTGTTACAATGAGAAATAGAGGAATAAAATGAATGGAGCGAGTTCTATTATTACTCAAGTCCAACTGCTGGTCAGAATCACACAGCCGATATATGTATCGCTTATAATACAAACAATCTCATCAAAATGCAGTCTAGGAATGATGTATGCATATAGGGTATCGGAATCAACACCGCGGGCACAAGTCAATATGGTTCCTTGACTGACTCTACAGCCCGACAGTGGCCTATGTCCGTCGGTACGTCGTCGTGTTTAATATTGTTTAGCAGCCTCCTGGCAAGCTTTCTAATAAAATAGGAAAGAATTGCTGATTAGCGCAACGGAGTTTCAAATCGACCAACACGTATTCTGATAAACATACCAACTGATCCAGATACCATCCGCAGATCGACATGTTGCCAGAGTGTTCATCCATGCAAGTTCGGAACGCCTTGATATCGGTTTCGCAAGCTTGCGGTTGGCCCCAGCTGCTGCTGGTGTTGCTCTGGTACAAACTGTTGTCCATGGGTGCCGCATTGGCAGGAGGGGCCTGGGCGGATTCTGCGGGCGCGCTGGACGATCCGCCAGTGAAGAAGCCGCCGACGGCATGGCCGATCGAGGAGCCTACTGCGACACCACTACAGAGAGAAAAGACGCACGGTTAGCAAATCTCGCGATTTCTGTCTGGTAGCCGGGATACGTGGCCGGCACCAGTTGCCGGCGTATACGGAACTTACGCGGCAGTAGAAGCCATCTGGGCAAATAAGCCTGGTCCCTGGCTTTGCTGGACCTGTGGAGGAGCCGCTTGTTGGGCTGGAGGGGCGGGCAGCTGTTGAAGAGGGACGGTGCTGGGTCTGAGCGGGAGCAGCTGGAGCAGGCGTAGGCCCGGGTTGGGGCACTACGGGCGGGAGTGGGAGCGGCCACCACGGCGTTGGCGAGGCATTTTGATGCGGTATGTGATGAGTTTATTGGAACGAAACGTAATGAGCGATTTGAGAGTTGACAATGGCCGTTCGTATAAATTGAGACGGAAATG